CTTGTCATCAAGCAAGAACCCTAATTAGAGTCGCTATAGGCAGATAAGGACAAAGTATTATGAGCAGGAAAAAATAAACCAAGTCCAAGGGCTAGCTTCACATATCTGACCACTTTGAGAGCTGCTGCCATATGTGACTGCTTGGGCTGGTGCATAAATTGACTCAATAAACTGATTGAGTAACTGAGGTCTGGCTTGGTCATACATAAGTAGAGCAGTTTGCCAACTAAACGTTGAGAAACTGCTGGATCAGGAAGTAACAGATCATTCTCAGTGTTGGCAGAAGTAAACTAATGATCAAATGCTGTTGTAGTAAGCTTCAAATTGGACTCCATGGGAACCAAAGATGGCTTAGAACCTGAAAGACCTGATTCTAAGATTAATTCCAATGCATACTTGCGTTGGCAGAGGCTAATTCCCTTGGAGGACCTGGCCACTTCAAAGCCTAGAATACACCTAAATCCTTCAGTTTAAAATTGTGGTGTAGCAGCTATTTAGTTTAGCACATTAAAGCTGGATCACCACCTGTTATCACAATGTCATCTACATACACAAGAATCAGGACAATGTGAGGTTGACTTCTTTTGAGAAACAATGTATAATCTGATTGAGACTACTGGAAACCACCATTTAGAAGAGCTGTAGTCAACTTATAATTCTAGGCTCTAGAAGCCTGTTTCAATCCATATAAGGATTTATGGAGCTTGCATACCAGATTCTGCCCCCTTCGCCTTGGAAAACCTTGGGCAATGTCATGTAAATTTCCTCTTACTAGTCCCCTTGCAAGAAAGCATTGTCAAGCTGATAAAGAGGCCAATTGTTCATGGAGGCTAAAGCCAAAACTATTCTAACAGTAACAATCTTTACAATTAGAGAAAAAGTCTCTTCATAATCAATCCCGGCCTGCTGTGTATATCCTTTAGCAACCAAGCGTGCCTTGTATCTGTCTAGGGTACCATCAGCCTTATACTTAAGTTTATATACCCACTTACAACCAATAAGAGCCTTACCAAGGGGCAGAGGTACTAAATACCAGGTTTGATTGCCTTCTAATGCCTGAATTTCTTTCTGCATAGCAGTGACCCAATTCTGATCTTTAGAAGCTTGTGTAAATGTAGTGGGTCCAACTAAGGAGAGATTGGACATGAATGCTTTATAGGAAAGGGATACATTAGCATAGGAAACAAAATTGATAATGGGATAGTGTGAAGTATTGGCTGTAGGCTTATGATTTAATGTAGGACAAACAAAATCTTGTGCCCAAATAGGAGGATTGGTATGTCTATTGGATCTTCTAAGAGCAAAGGTGAAACATGAATAATACTAGGCATAGAAATAATGGAATGATCATGAACAAAATTATGAGAAACAGTAGATTCTATAGTCTGGATAACAGGAGAATCAATAATAAAATGAGGAGTTGGAATTGACTCTGAAACAAGGAACTCTGAATCAATAGGGAAAGGATTCAAGGAAGATGTTGACAAGGCAAAACGGAAAACATTTTCATAGAAAATGACATCCCTGGTGACAAACACAGAATGAGTAGACAAATTGTGTAAAATATAGCCCTTTTGGGTAAGAGAATAACCCAAGAAAACTTAACGACCAGCTTTAGGATGCAATTTGTCCTTAGAAGTTAAGATTGTAGCATAGGCCAAACATCCAAAGACCTTTAAATGATTCAAGAAAGGTGGTTTGACAAAAAATTTCTCAAAAGGTGACTGACCTTTAAGGACTGCAGTAGGTAGTCTATTAATGATGTAGACTGCAGTTTGTACACAATACCCCCAGAAATGAGTGGGAATATTGGACTGAAGTTTTAAAGACCTAGCAACCTCTAAGATGTGGCTGTGCTTTCTCTCAAAAATACCATTTTGTTGAAGAGAATAAGCACATGAACTTTGATGAATGATACCCTGACTACTTAGGAGTTCATGACAACCTTTGTTAAAAAAACTCTAAACCATTATCAGTCCTAAAGCACTTAGGAATCAAACTATATTGTCTATGGACCATACAAAGGAAGTGTTTAATGGTAGAGTAAGTGTCTGACTTGAATTGCATAAGAAACAACCAAGTAACCCTAGAAAAATCATCTACCATAGTGAGAAAGTATCTAGCATTCCCATGCGTAGGTGTTATATAAGGACCCCATACATCCATATGTAGTAAATCAAAAAAAAAATTGTGTTTGAGATGTACTGTTAAGGAAGGGTAACTTGGTCTGTTCAGCTAAAGGACAAACAGGACAATGCATAGAGTGTAAACTACTTTGAGCACTAGACCTTGACAAACTGGGATGAACAAGAGGCAAAATAGAATAAGAGGCATGTCCTAATCTTTGATGCCATAATGCATAATCATGAGATGAAGATAATGGCAACATGAAAATAGGCATTTTATTCAAATTCATCTCAAAAGGTACAATCTGCGATGATTCTACAGTATGACAAACAGCCTTATTTAATTGTCCTAAGTCTGATACAAAAGTGGAAATTTTCAAATTTGGATTAAAGAAATAAAGACCTTGCCTATACTTACCAATCCCCTTCAATTTGCCATTGCAAAAATCCTGAATGAGACAAAAATCAGGATAAAAGGTAACAAAACAGTTATTAGAAGCAGCAAGTTTGGAGACTGAAAGTAAATTGTGATGGAAATCTGGAACATGCAGGACATTTGGTAGATGTAAGTTATTATCCAGAACTACAGACCCTACGTGTTTAAAATACGTTCTTGTTCCATTTGGTAACCCTACAAGGTATTTTGTAGAAGCTTCTATAGCAGTAAGTAATTGTAGAACAGAATAATCAAAAGTCATATGGTCAGATGCTCCAGTATCAATTATCTAACTATTCTTATCAAGGTAAGACATCAAGATAATAGAATTACCTGCCAAGTTAGTAGTGGGAGGAGAAACATTCTCTTTTCCTAGCAATTGGAGGATGTGATTGTACTGCTCAGTAGTCAGAACATGACCAACAACTGAATATGAGTTTCCAGTGCTAACCATTGATCCTGAATTTCCTATATCCAATGACTATGAAGTATGCACCTGATTGGCAGTAAATTTTGACTTAGAGTTTGCTTTCCCTTTAGTGAATTAATGGTCTGGTGGATACCCATGCAACTTGTAACAAGTATCTCGTTTGTGTCCAGGAATGTGACAAAATTCATATTCAATGTAGGGCTTCTTCCCCTTATATTTTTGGCGTTGATTCTAACCTTTGCCATTTTTAGAATGATTAGCATAAAGTGTTGTAGTTACTTCTGAATTCAAACTCATCCCTGCCAAGATTTTTTTACTTTCATCTTGATTGACCACTGAATAAGCTTGCTTGACATTCCGTAGAGGATTCATTAGCAAGATTTGGCTTCGAACCATGGAATATGACTAATTTAATCCCATCAAAAAATGCGGTAATTTTTGCTGATTCAAATGCTCCAAATATGCTTTTGTCGAGGCACTATCAGGTGCAGGAGGACTGACCAGGAATCCAACCCATCCCATAATGACTTCAATTTACTATAGTAGCTAGCTATAGAATTAGTTCATTGAGTTAGGTTAACAATTTCACGATGCAACCCAAACACTCTAGTGCCATTCACTTTGTTATATTGTTCTTTCAAATCCAGCCAGACCTGTGCAGCCTTTGTAGAGTAAACTATACCATTGAAGATCTTTTTCGAGACTGAATTAAAAATCCATGCAAGCACCAGTGAATTACATCTCTCCCATTGTGGAGCCAATCAAGAATTTACAGTCGATTTTGTGCAATTACCATTAACAAATCCAAGTTTATTTTTAGCACCGAGAGAGACCGTCATGGCTCGACTCCAAATGTTGTAATTTTCAGCTCCAACGAGCTGCTCAGAAACCAGTACAGAGCCCGGTGTATTTGATGGATGGACATACAAGGGAGAGTTGGAGTCAATCGACTAAATGGTAATTTCTTCTGTCGATGTTACCATATTTGATTAACTAATTATCAAATTGATTGATCTAGAATCAAATTCAAGTCGAATCGACTAAGAATTTAGATTGAACAGAAAACCTAATTCAAGATTTCGAGCTATAATTCACGATTTTGAACTAAAAAATTCGAAGGATGAAGCAAAGAAATCAAGTGTTCAAGCTGATTTGTAACTTATCTGAATCAAAGAGCTTCACTCTAATCGACTCATTCTCAGGTTAGGGCTGGAGATTCTGTCGCCCTGATACCATGCTAACAAACGAGAGAAAAGAAAATGAAGCTGAATTTGGGAAAGTGAAAATCTACTCTTTACTGAATGTTACTGTTCGTTTATATACAGCAGTAACTTCAATCGACTGAAGTTACTTATTGACTGAAGAGCGAACTAACTCAAAACTAACTCAGTTAAGAATATAAAAGTAAATTACATGAATACCCTTTACATCTAATATAAATTGATTGTTGGATGCTACTTTTTCTTTCGCATTTTATCTGACCCTTTTGTCCTCTACCCCTTTGCAGCATCAGTTTATCAGAAACGGGCATTGCTAATCATATGTTAATGAAATTGAATGTCCGGCAATGATTATTCTTAATTAACTTTGATCAAGTCAAAATGATTTTAATTGTGCTATACTATATAATCCCTGAAGAAGTTTCGTCCATCATCTCGCGTCCATTTGTCTACCATACCTCTAGAGTTAAAATAGTTCCAAAATGGCTCTCTCTCTCTCTCGCTTTCTGATAAATCTTATGTGTCAGTATTTTCAGAATTGACATCTTGTCTCTACCGCGGGTGTATCTGCAAATATTCATTCTCCATAACGAAATCTCCATTTCCCTTGTAGGCTAAAATATTATAGAACCATTTGCAAGAATTCATCTCCAGATATAATTTCTTATTGAGAAATAAGGATTAAAGACTAGGTCATCCCGTTGAAACGCTTTCAAATATCTTATGCACACTCTATGTCAAAAAAAATTCAGGGGTGCTGTATAGCTAAGCACATTCTTCATTTCATCATGTCTAAACAAGCAAAGTATCAAGCACTACCAACCTGCATAATTTATGTCTTCATCTTCCTAACCATCCTAAATTTGTCGACGTCACAAACTTCCCACAATAGCTGCATCCTTGATATCCAATTATTTCCAACAGACATCTCAAATTGTGAATCAGGCAATTGGGGTGGTTTTATCAACAATAATTGTTGTAGAGAAGCATTTGATGACTACTTATATGCAATGGGCAGGAGGCTCAACCTAACTGGAGATATATTCCTGAATTCTACAGAGCAAAAAAACTGCTTAAATTTAATGGAGACATCTGACAAGGATGTTTCAGGCTGTGGTATTCAGAAACTAACTAGTGGAGCAGGTGGCTGTTCTGACTACATTGTTACAGATATTTTTAATAAGCTCGGAAACAGAATGAAAAATTTAGATGAAGGGTGCAAGAATTTGAGCTCAGTCCGCAGATTAGATCAGGCTTGTACTGCATGTTTGAGAAGGTGGGAAGAGATTGGTGGATCATCTGATGAAGAAATAGACTCCGCAAAGGCTGAAGCCAATGTGTGCAGATTTGCAGTTTTGATGACATTAATAGGAAGTCGGATAGATGATAAAAAATGGGTACAAGCAGTTTTCGATTGCCTTGCAGAGCAGCCTTTTGCGACTGGTAAATATGTTTGAAATGATGATTAAGAATGCAATTGAATATTATTTTAGTTTACTCATCGTTGCACCATCATTCTCATATGTATCTTGATATTTGCCTAATCTCTTCTTTTACTCTTAGGTTTTAAAGAAGGGGAAACAGATAGTAGCAACATCAAGGCAAACATAGGTAATCCCATTAGCAGTAGTCATGGCCACCATGTCCGAATTATGATTTGCTTTTGTTTTTGTTTTTTTTTTTTTTTTTGGCTTTCATTTTACTTTGATTTGAATAACCTTGGCAGGTCTTTGGATTATAATTGGGGGTTCAGTGGGAATTGCAGTAATAGTAGTAATTGCAAAATGGATCATATATAGAAAAAGGACCGAGCAAAGTATTTTACCAGGAATTGATGGTAATTCATAATCATTTATATTAACCTAATTTGAATAAGTAAATCACATACGGAATTACTTACCTTATTGTTTTACCTGATAGCGTCAGATGAATCACTCACTGAGGAAACTGGCTGTCTCAAGATACCGGTTAAGGAAATTTATTCAGCAACAAACAGTCTCAGTGCATCAAACTTCATTGGCCAAGGAGTAGCTGGTGAGAACCTATATCAACAATTTAGTATATAGGATTCAGTTTGTAAAGGATGAATTTACTAGTCACGATGGTAGCAAAGATTATCAATTAGTTTTTGAGTATTCAAACATCAGGCAAACAAACAAAAGCACATGATAATTGGGTTTAAAAGAGAACCCACTTGACATCCCAACAATTTTCTACAAGACTTTCCCACAGGCAAGGAATTGAGCTTTCTATTGTATTGCAGATACACATACAAACCTGAAGGTGTAACAAAAAATAAGAGCAGCATGAATTAGGAAACTGTCTTCATTTCTTATTCCTTTTTCTTCCTGTAATTCATTGGAAAGTTGGATTTTGATAATGTGCTGCTACCACCAGGAAAGGTGTATAAAGGCATACTCTCAAATGGTCGACATGTTGCGGTTAAGCACATCATCAAAGATGGATATGTAGAGACATTTGTCAGGGAAGTTAGAAGTTTATCCGACGTCCGACATCCAAATCTTGTAGCTTTGCTCGGGTTTTGTGAGGACAAAGATGAATGTTTCCTAGTGTATGAGCTGTGCCATAATGGGAATCTCTCAGAGTGGTTATATGGTATGTTTTTATTTCCATTTCTGTTGCTATTTTTATTGTTATTTAGCATTTCCCTTGTTTGGAAAACCGACAGAGCTGATGAACAACAGGTAAAGATAGAACCCTTTCATGGATTCAAAGACTTGAGGTTGCAATTGATAGTGCTAGAGGCCTAGGGTTTCTCCACACTTATCCAGAAGGTCGCATAGTTCACAGAGATATCAAGGTAAACTTTGTCCTGGAGGTATGTTCTTTTTTACCCTTAATTTCAACAACCACTCTTTGTTTGATTTCTACCGTCAAATGTGTAGCCAACAAACATTCTTATTGATGCTGACTTTCACGCAAAACTCGCGGATTTTGGGTTATCCAAAGTTATGGACATTGGCCAATCCTATGTGAGCTCAGAAGTGCGAGGAACATTCGGTTATGTTGATCCAGAGTATAGAAGAAACCACCATGTAAGTGCTTCGGGAGATGTTTACAGTTTCGGTATGGTACTCTTGCAACTTATTTCAGGGCAGAGGGTCATCAATCTGAACATCAATAGACCAATGCCTCTAAATAAAATGGTGAGTAATAACTTTTTCCATATCTCTAACACTAAATCTCCAACTTTGGCTCCCACACTTCGTAATGGGCTTACTTTTCAGGCAAAATTCCATATGAGAGGTGGTAACATATCAGAATTTGCTGATCCGAAACTTAATGGAGAGTACTCAGTCGAAGCCTTTAACCTCGTACTCGAATTAGCTTTGTCATGCACAGGTCTCAAGCAGCAAAGGCCGTCCATGGAACAAGTGGTATTAAGACTAGAAAAAGCACATGATGTCTCAAACACAAGTAAAATCTCTCGCAAACCATTCATGGATAGAAATTGAAGATACAACAAAGAATAAGCATTGTTCTTTATTTTGAAATCTACAGCAGATGATGTTTACAGCAGTACTGTATTACAATCTTATTATCATGAATCAGGAAAAAATAATCACATACAACAGTGTTTTTGTACACAAAGCTTCATAAAAAAAAAAAAAGAAGCTGATTTGACTATTAGCTCTTCAAAAAAGCGAGCTAATAACACAATCAAACAAGGAAAAGGCAAACATTGTTTGTGTTTACATGGACCGGTGGACAGATGCCACAAAGATATGAATGATGAATGGGCACCCTTAAAAATTTGGGTTACCAAACGTGAACAGAACGTTCTTGAGGAAGAACGGGAGCCAATGCGCCAGAGGAGCTTCTTTCATAAAATTCATGAAGGACTCTGATGAGAGCACTGGCCTTCTTGCTAGCCCGCGATGTGCCTTCGCTGAGTAGGGAATACAACGATCCCATAAGAGAAGGGCTCTTCGCCAAAAGAGCAACCACATATGCACCACCATTGATGCACAAAGCCAGCAATAAAGACACACAGTACTCCTTCCCTGCCCGTGAAGTGGAGTCGTCCAAAATCCTCACTATCACATTCAACGCTCCATGGCGTATAATTGCTAATGTCCCTTCAACCTTCTCCGCTATAGTTGCTAAAACCGCTAGAGAATTCGTTACAATTTCTTGTCTATTAGAAGAACTCAAAAGATCAACCAGCAAAGGAACTGTCCCGGCTGCAAGCACCTTCCAGTGATTGCCAGGATGCATTAGCAGCCCAAATATTGCCACTAATGCATTCTTCTTGCCACGATTAGTTCCATCCCTAACCATCTCCACTAAAGCCGGTATAGCCTCAGGAATTTCACCAATCAATTTCCTGTACTCTTCTATAGACGCAATGTAAAACAGTGTAGCAGCCGCATGATTCCTAGCCTCAACTTTCAGTCCCTTCTTCAAGACATCTATAATCAATTCCAATCCTCCATTTCCCACTATTATACTCTTGCTTTTCTGGTGTTTCGACAGATTCAACAAAGCCGCAATAGCATTCTCTTGAGTAGATGAATCTTTTGATGACAAAAGATTCAATAGACTTGGAATGCAACCAACTTCCACCAAACAAGACCTACTAAAAATGCTTGTTTTAGTGAGAAGCCGGATCTCGTAAGCAGCTTTATTCTTCTCTTCACTAGTTCCATCTACAAGCCTGCCAGCAAGAAAATTAGCCAACAATTTCACAGCTCCTTCAGCAGCCATACTCCCAGCAAGAACCGTTCTCGTAATATCAAGATTCTTGTGACTCGACTCTTCACCGATACATACTCCATTTTCAACAGACCAATCTTGAATTATCCTCTTTAAAGCCAAATTAGACACTAACTCTTTATTTTTGAGCCTCTCACCAGTCTTGGGACAAGTAGAATTGCCAGCTCTAAACCATTTCAAGATTGAAGCACGATCGTAAGTGTGTCCTGAGGACAGCGTGACTGGATCTTTCATGATCTCTAGCGAAATTGGACACCTAAAATCATCCGGGCTCACCCCATTAAGCATCTTCGTACTCCATTGGTTAACTTGTTGATTAGCTTTAGTGTCAACGAGATCAAACATTACACATCTACAGTAGCTCAACAACCCCATTAAACTGCTTAAGAGTGACAATTCTCTTCTTTTCTCTTCATTCAAGTACTCCGTCCCAATTTCTGTATCCAAGAATTTGATTTCTTTATTGCATTCACTCCAATTTTTTATTCCAAGATAATACAAAACCTGCTGTTTTTCATTCCTATCGGGGTCAACCCCATCCTTAAACCGACCCAAGATCCGGAAGACATCATTGATGACCCGTTTATCATCTGGGTCAACTTCAAATCTTGCTTTACGCGCCTGCCTCATTGCTAGCTCAACTAACTCCTTCACTTCACTTGATACACCAACTGTCTCGTGGGGCAAGACATCCAGACCCGTACTAATGGCCCGAATCAAGACCCGGAACTGGTTGGCCACCCTATCTGACTTCATAAGCATCCAAAGTCGCGCATCTTCGCAGGTACAATCTTCCAGCAAGAAGTGAATCTTCTGGAAGGCTAAATGGAGCTCGGACAAGCCGAGAACAAACGAATCCGGAACGTCTGATAATCCGACCCGGATGTCTTCTAGTAAAATCAAAACATTCTGGACTTGGCGAATGGTTTCATGAGCGTTTCTCTTATTGGAAGAAAAAAAATGAGACTTGTAAGCACATATACTTTGAGCAAGCTCAATGAGTGAGTTGAGAAGCGTGGATGGAGAGATGGACTCACACGGATGAACCGCCGGAAATGTCAGAACCCGGCGACCCGACACATTAACTTGATGGATCATCTAACAAAAGACAAATAAAAGAGAAGAGAAAACAAAAGGGAAAAAGTTTGATTTTGAGTTTTTGTGTTTCTTGATTTGGATTGTTTGATGAAGGGCCGTTAAGTTAGTTCCATATATATAAGTAGTGAACTGACGGGACACGTGTCTGAACTGTAATCGCTGTTATTGGGTGCTTTAGAATCTAACGCAGGGTTTGAGTTATCTGACACGTGGAGGCATCGAGAGATGGGGGGAGAGGCGGCTTCCTAAGTACTTCCGAATAGTATATCATTCAATGAGGAAGGGACACGCGTCCGGGAAGTATGGGAGAGGTACGTGGTATTGAAGGTACGTGAAAATGGGTAGCCGACAAATACCGACTGATATTACGTGGAATTTATTAAAGGGAATTATTATCAAATTCATTATTATACACGTCTTTGCAAGTGGGCGAATCATTGATGAGAGTCAAACTTCGACATTGATAGAAGAAGAATACTGGAATGGTCATCATCGTCCACCTCCGATACATTTTCATTTAGGAAAATTAACATTGTATTAGATTGTCTTTTAAAGAGTATAGATATCTTTTTCTCTCTCTCTTTTCTTTTTTAATTGGTGAAATAAGAGTATAAATATGTTTCTAATTAACAACATCTTTGTCATTATATTGGTCAGCAAAAAATGAGCCAGGGCACCTATATTAAATAAATGATCCGTAAATTGTATTATGATGTTCATCGATAGTTATGTTTAGTGTTAGAGGAGGATATCAATATTTACCACATCAAATTGGAGTGTCAATAGACGTGTTAAGATGGGTTAATGACTCAATTTGTGTGGTGGGAGAAATCATATCTTCTATAATGATAGAGATATATGTATTTGTCCAAAATATTGAAGATAGAAAGAAATTGAATGAAGAGGCGTGCATGGGTTTGGGACGTTTTTGTTTGAATTATGCGTTGTTGACAAGTCAATTGTGGGATTTATATTTAATTCAATTGGGCCGTGCATGAAGATAAGGATTAACGAACGTACGTATCCGTTGAATTAATAAGTTTGGTAAACTTGCCCTTGTGTTAAAGCAATCCAAACTCATTAAAGCCAATTTAATTAAATAAATCGGATGGGTTATCTTATATAGTAAATGCTTAAAGTAAAGCTGCATCATATTATCAGTCTGATTCATGTGATCCAATGTATATAAAAAAGGTTGCACTCACATGCCATTTTTAATTACTATATGTTAAAAGCATATTTAATAGTATCCTTTGTTTTAAATGTCATATTTCACATAAATAAAGAGTATCTTCATTAATTTCTAAATATAAATAACAAAATTTGTATTCAAATCTAATCCATTTTTTAAATTAGACTTAATATATAGAAGAGAAACTTAATAGGAGAGAGAATTAATAATAAAATGTATAAAAAATTATAATTTATTAAATAAAATTGAGATAAAAAACCTATTAAACCCTTATTTTTATGAATAAACTTTTTATAATAAAAAGTTTAGCTCATATTACATAGGCCTAAGATTCTTTCTTTCATTTAATTGAGTTTTTTGACGTGTATTATCGATGGTAGATTTGACATTGACATAAAAAAGGAAGCACTTTGTAACTGTGGAACTCAAAGTTGAATTGAATTTGCGAAAACAAAACAGAAACTCCAATAAACAAGTTGGGCACCCAAAACAAACATTATATCAAATGCCCATATTCCATGAATCTCCTGCATCAGTCATATCAAATGCCAGCTATAACTCTGCTAGCAAAACTCTGCTCATTATTGATTGACTTACACGCACCAACAAATTTATTATATATATAATATATAATATATAATAACCAGAACCTCCTCAATTGAAATTAATTAATATTTTATTATAGCCCTTAACAAACTTCCAAGCTCCCATAAACCCTCAACAATATTACAAGGCTAATTAATTAATATTAGTATGCAGATTAATTTCTTTTCAAATATATATATTAAAAAGGTTAATTTTTTAGATATATTGATACTGGATTTTAACACCAACTAAACGCACATAAAAAATACTGAGCTGACTCAAAAGACACACGTGTACAGGGGTATTGAACTGAATAAAAGAAGAAGAACAGTGTTTAAAGTGGTTCAAATACATAAGAAAACGAATCCTACGTCCACTGGAATCATATTAATATATGAGATTAGATCGCGTTCAGCAAGTTGATTTACAAGAGATTACAAGAGAGAGAGAGATAATATATATGCTATTCTAGAGAGAAATTAGCTAATCCTGCAAACGGGAGAGGAACCCTCTATTTATAGTGGGATGAATTGAGGTAATGATTACTAAATCAGGGAGTGGGTCAGATTATCGTGTAAATCCTTCCTTACGTCCCGTTGTTCACTTGCTCAAGTGATTTTCTCGACGTTTGCAGAGATTGGACACGTGGATCGTCACTAGCCTTTCACCAGTCTGACGCACACCTACTGTACTGATAAGAGTATACCGTTTATGTCAGCATGTGATATGGCTACGTCTGAATAACTGTTAGACTTACCTAAGCTTTAACCACTAAGGCTGATAGGGCTCTCGTGAGCCCTATTTTTCCCCGACATAAGAAGGTATAATATCATAATAACGCATGCATGGACTGAGAAGCAAGTGGTTAATAATAATCCTATATATATATATATATATATATATATATNTTAAATTTAACCGATAAAAATATTTTATTGATATTTCCATTCTTAAGAACGGTATTTTTGACCTTATAATTATTTAATTTAATTATCTCTATTTTCTATTTTCTTCTTTCTCCCTTGACCCACCTCCTATTCAGATTATAAAGGAAAAAAAAAAAAAAAGCATTAAGTCGTCCACTTTGGCTTTGGATTTAGCTGAGTGGAATTACCTTCGTTGCCATGATCATCTAGTCTATTTTAGTTGTTGTATATTTCAAAATATTGATTTTACTTACTTATATTTCCCTCATGCAAAAGTATAAAAACCTCTACTTAATGGTTTTTCGATAATCATGGAGAGGTTACTAAATCTATTACATACAAAACCTGATCAGAAAATTGTTTTGTAATGGTGTTAATATGAAAAATCACCTTGAAATCCGTCAAGGAGTGCAATTAGTTTGTCTATTCAATCGTCTTTCTCTCGTACATAAAATTGAATCCATTTGAATAACAATTAGTTGAATTCTGAATATTTCTACCTATTACTTTGCCACCATTCAGCCCGCACGTTAAATACAAGTGAAACATTACACTAGACAAGGTCTCTAAACTTGATAAATAACCTGTATAACTTGCATAAGTCTATAGAAAATGTTGATGTGTGAGTTTTTGACACCAACAACTTTGCACATGCAAAATGCTAAGAGGGTCTTATAAATTATACGCGAACAATTGATTAAGGGTTACGGTGACATATGTTTGTACAAACATAAATAAAAGATTGACAAAAAAGATTTTTATAATGGTTCAGATGCTTAAAGCGAATCCTACGTCCATTGTTATTTTATTATTCTCTGACTATTTTTCTGATATCGCTTATAAGGCATACAAAAATGGAGTAATGCTTTTTTACAGAGAGAAATAATAAAACTCAAACGTATGCCTAGCTCTCATATGCTAAACCTCCTTATTTCATGAATGTAATATCTCTTTGAGGCGGTTTTGACAGCTAATACTACTTTGCTTTTAAGTGCTTGTTAAGCTCTGATTGGTGGTGCTGACATCAGTGTGTATTTTTGGCATAACTGAACCCTCCTAGTTTTTGGAGTGCGTAATTGCACTTCAAAAACTCATGTCTTCGAGCTTGAATTATGCCTAGCGCGATCAGGTACTAAGAGCTATGATTGCAATCTGAGAGCTTGGAGTGATTTGAAGTTGATCACGATCTGATAACTGACATAAAATGTCTAGTAGATGAATTCTTGTAGAGAGTTGAGCAAAGCCAAAATGCGCAGTTCAGAGGTCTTAAACAAACATGTTAACTTAAAAAAACCATTACTTTTGATTCAGGAGGAGTTTTGGAGCTTGTAAGATATCCATGGAAAGCTTGTTTCGAGCTCTACGTTGTAGCAATTGGGGAACTAGTCGGGGTCATTTTCAGGGTCAAAATCCACAGTTTTACCATGTTTCAGGGCTGTTTTAAGTTTTCTATACGTTTTTTCTAACATTGACAACTGATCGTGATTTAAAAACTGAGAACTGATCGCGATCTAAGAGTTGAGAACATGATCTGAGGTTGTTCGCAATCTTAGAGCTGAGAGTTGATTGCGATTTAGAGCTAGGATATGATCTGATAAGGGCTCGATCTGAGAGTTTGAGGCGTGCGATCTGAACAAACTGAAATGCGCGATCTCAAGGTGAGGAGTTTGATTTGGAGCGTGCGATCTAAGAGCTTAAGGAGCTCGATAAGAGAACATAAGGAGCTCAAGGAGTTCAATCAGAAAGCGTGAATCTTGATCTGAGAATACAAGGAGTTCGATCAGAAAGCATAGAGCTTGATCTGAGAACACAAAGAGTTTGATTAGAAAGTGCGAAGCTTGATTTGAGAACACAAGAAGTTTGATTAGAAAGCGTAGAGCTTGATCTGAGAATATAGAGAGTTCAATCAAAAAGAGTGAAGCTTGATCTAAGAACACAAGAAGTTCGATCAGAAAGTATGAAGCTTGATTTAAGAACATAAGGAGTTCAATTAGAAAGTATGGAGCTTGATCTGAGAACACAAGGAGTTCAATCAGAAAACATAGAGCTTGATCTGAGAACACAAAGGGTTCAATCAGAAAGCGCGGAACTTAATCTGAGAACACAGGGAGTTCGATCAAAAAGTGCAGAGCTTGATTGAGAACACAAGGTTAGCGATTTGAGCGCTCGGAAGCACAATTTGGGTGCTTGGAAGCACGATCTAGCTAGGTGCTTGGAAGGACTATTTATGTGCTTAGAAGCGTGATCTGGACGCTCAGAAGCATGATTTGAGTGATCTTGAATGCATGATCTCAATGATCTTGAATGCGTGATCTAAACGATCTTTGTTGTTGATTTTCGCAAGTGTACAAAATCGTGCAAGTAATAAA